GAATTTTGTATTTCTAACAGCCATGTACATATTTCTCGGCAAGATTAGTTTGTTAGTTTACTGATAAGATCAGTTTGAATTTTGTAAATATGATTAGTTTATTTTTATGTACAACAACTTTATATAGTTTGTTTTATTAGTCTATTTATAGACACCAGCATAATGAAGTCCGATCAACTTGATCTTTCACAAAATTAGTGTATAGTTTGGTCAGAGGGTGAATAATTTAGTCTATTGGGCTTGAAGAGTGAAAATATATCAGGTCAGTGTATCTATGTTAAGAAAGTCCACAATAATTAATTATTTTTATTAAAAGAATAGAGACGGTGAGAATTGAACTTGTGACTATTTGGTCAGAGTCTCTGAAACCATATAAAAAATCAATTCAACCCAAAAACTTGAGTGGTTGGATAAGACTTAGCTCTAACAGAAAAATGATAGAAAATTTTCATTTCTATTTATTTGAGAACTCATAATTAATGATATTGTGAATTTCAAATCAATAAATCTAGAAAAAGTTTAGACATGGGTGGCAATTTGGGATGGCCCGTCCCAACTCGCCACCAACCTGCCAAAAATGGGGCGGGGCGGGTTGGCCCGCCATTAAATATGGGCTAAAAAAATGAACCCATCCCGTTTTATGACTGGTTGGCGGGTCAACCCACCAACTCGCCAATTAAAAAAAATAATTAAAATTCAAAAATAAATTATATTTTATGAATTTTCTAATATTATTTATTTTATTTCACACTTCTCTTAATTTTTTTCAGTCTTAATCTTAAATTTATATTAATATTTGTCAAATATTCTTTAGGAACTCAGTTGTCTCCATATATAGATAACATTTGTCATAAATAAAATAGTTATTCTTTATTTTTTTCTAAGAAGTACTAAGATAAAAAAAAATTAGATATCACAAAAATTTAATGACAAATGAAATATTACCTAATTATAAAAACAAAATTATAACCTGGAGGGTCAACCCGCCCCGCGACGGGTTGAATCCGTTTTGACCCACTTCTAGGCGGGGCGAGTTGAAGTGAGTTGGTTGGTTGAAAATCTCAACCCAACCCGTCCTGTTTTGGCATGTTGACGGATTAATTCGTCGAGCTCAACTCATATTGCCACCGCTAAATTTAGTATATGTATCGAAATGAAAGGGAAAATTCAATGTAATTAACTTTTATGTATTACCATATAATATATTGTTTCTTCAATCTGTTAATCGAAAACTTAACTAATATACTTCTAAAATGTCGTTATTATTTAACTCTTGAGATTCTTGGTTGTCATAATACAGTTTTTGTTAATGAATTTCGAGATTCATTTCAATTCTATTCTAAAATTCACAAGTTCATACAAACTTTAATAATTAAGGGATTGTTTTTTCCTAGAAGAAGACACGTTCACACCAAATTAATAGAAATAACAAAAGTATAACACGACTTTTTATGGATAGTACCTATTTTGATACGAAAATTACAGTTTGTTCCTTTCCTCCTGAATGGATAATACTATATATACTATGAATTTGCTTTTTCTACAGTCAACGTAGATAACTTATTTACATTGAGCCCAAAACGACATCATTTTGAGACGGAAATCAAGGTTGTAATTATAATTTATTTCAGGGTTGTAATTGTCTTTTTCATTATAATTTTTTAAACCAAAACAACGTCATTTTGGGAGCAAAGGTAGATATAACTTATCTACATTCACTTTAGAAACATTAAAGCCATATACTATTTCTTATTCTTATATTAGTAATATTTATTTTGTTTGTTGAGACTGTAAGAATTTCTCAGTCATGAAGGAATAGATTTGGATATATCATTCAAATTGTTAGTTCCCTACATCTATGAGCCTTTTACACCAAAATTCAAATTATCCTTTCGAATGGTATGAATTTTTGACAATTGCAAATTTTTCATTGTGTCAAGCTTTTCTTGGAATAATTTTAGCGTCCATTTTTTACATAAGTTTGGGTTTCTGTAATTTTTTTAGTATCGGTGTCTATATTTTCATTAATTTGGGTTTTTGTCCCTATTGTTAAAAATTAATCCTTATATGTTTTTCACTCATTTGAGTTTGGTCCTTTTAATTTTATTTTATCAAGGTATTGGTCTTTTTTCATGAAAAGCTAGTTCATGTAATTTTTATTTATTAAGTTATTAATTGATGAAAAATCAAAACTCAAATGAGTAAACACATAAAGGCTGGTACTCGAATAAATTATTGCTTTTGTTGTTCATTTCATTAGCCAACTTGCGTTTTACCAAAAGGATATGAAATAAAATGATGACTACAATAAATGCTAATATCAAACTTATTCTAATTGATTACGTACAATAAATACAATTAATCCTAATTGATATCAATCTAATTATTTCTTTGATGGGCTATCTTGTGGTTGCAACATCTTACTTATAAGAATAAATTTTATTTCGTTCTATTTTAATTTTATGAATCAAACAATAGAATGTCATAAAATTTGTATTGTATAAATAGCTTTATATATTTTTGTTGTATGATACATGTGAAATACTCGTGTGGAGCTAAGTAAGGTAGTAAAGAAAGAGTTTAGATTCGATTTCCACATGTCACTTTTAACAGGAGTTTAAATATTTTTATTTTTGACCCGATCTGTACTCTGAATTAGTCTCATAGGTGACTTGGGAGATTATCAGATAATCCAACTTGCCTCAAAGAGATAAATACTATTGGGTAAAAAAAAAAAAAAAAAACTTAAACAGGGACGACGCACATTGATAATAACAAAACAACAAAGTTAGCGCCGATATCAACAATTGAGGAGGAAAATAAAAATTTAGTATTTAAGTAGGTTAAAGTCAATCACGTGTAATATTTAAAATTTTATAAAACAAATAAGTTTAAGTTAAAAAAAAATTCAATTTGATACTATAAAGTATGACATCACGAATCCTACCTCACCAAGAGGGAATGATGATTTAAAATTATGTAAAATGAGACATTGAATGAAATTACCATCTCTTACTTTATTTTTATTTGTTTTTACAAACAAAAAGAATACTTCATAGAATAAAACCCAATTTATACCAAAAAAACTCAGACCCAATTATAATCTTAGAAATCTTAAGCTTATAATCTCAAAAGGAAAAGAATGAACATCCACTAGGACTTGTTTTGTCGTGGTAACAGAGATGTCCCCTGTTGTGATGACAGAGATGTTCAGTCAGTGGCTGGTATATTAATGTTGGATTTGTGTACCCTCTTTCAGGCATCTATATGGAAAAGATTCCTTAGAAATTAGTGGATCACTGTTCACTATAATAATGACATAACCAAAAAATGAGGTGTGTGCGTAGTGACAACTAAGAGAGGGTTTATAATATGTGTACCTGATTGATTTAACCCTTTATTTATAGATGACTTATTTGTCATGAGTTGACTTATGGGTCTCTCAGGAATATTTGGGTCCAGTTTATGATCCATAGTTGTTGCCCTAGGATTAGTGTATTTAAGGAAACTTTCCTTAATTTTCCTCTTAGCTATTAACCCTTCTTGAATCCTTTAGAATATAGGCTTCTATGTCACGTCCATAACAGAAGTAAAATGACTTCTTCAATATGCCTATTGGCGTAAATACCTTTAAAAAAACTTTTATATTGTTATGTACTATTATCATTCCATAGGGGTATGCATGGATCGAATTGATCTGAATTTTTTGATGAATTGAACCGAATTACTTTAAACGGTTCGGTTCGATAACAATGTGGTTCGGTTGAAAATAATTCGGTTCGGTTGAAAACGATTCGGTTCGTTCATAACTAATTCAGGTTGACCCTATTATGAAAAGAAAAAAATTAAAGAAATAAAGTAATAAAAACCAGGTCGAAAACGGTTCGATTCGATTCAAAAACGGTTCGGTTCTTGAACTGGTTTTAAAAACCAGTTCAGTTCATAAACTGATTCTTTAAAAACTGGTTCGGTTCATGAAATGATTTTTTAAATAATAGTTATTTTAAGTGTGGTTCGGTTCGGTTCAATTTTTTTTATTCTTTTGCACATCTTTATTATTCCATTTATTTAACTAACATTTTTTTTTCTATTTTATTTGTTCTTTCATGTAAAAAAGTTGAAATAATAACTAACTCGTCTTACATTTTTTTTTTTTTTAAAGTTACAAGGAATTGAACACAACACCCTACACTACACACACTCCTAACACACACACCCCACACCACTAGACTAACCCTACTCGTCTTACATTTTTTTCCTTTTTCAAACAGCACAAGAATTTCATATGTGCACAAGAATTAGTCCTTTTTTATTTCTAAAAAGGAACCGCTATTAAATGATAGCATCTCAAGTTGAAGTGTGCCGTCTGATAAATATAATGTAATACATAATACCAACTTTTTTTATTTTTATTATTATTATATATATATATAAATGAGGTAGGATCTTTTGACTCATGTGTCAAATTTAAAGTTTGACACCTCATATGAGGAGCCATTAAATAAAAAATGATCAATGACTCTGATTTGTAAGTAGGTGATTTGACACCAAATTAACGCTTAAAATTTGATGTCAAATTTTAAAGTTGGACACATGTATCAAAAAATTATGTTCTATATAGATCAAGATGGTATAATTTAAACTCCCAATCTTTGGTAATTAATCATATTTATATCTAAATTTTTTGATTTATTATATATTCGAACCATTAAATACAAACAAATTTATGATCAAGAGATTTAATATAAGATTTCTTATTTTGCTAAGAAAAAAATCAGTTATTTTTTATTTTGAAATTATTACCAATATTCATTCACATTTTTCACCAAAAAATAAAATATAAATAAAAAAAATAAAAAAACATCATATGCTGTAATCTCTTGGCTCCTCCAAATTCTTGCACCGTAGTATTTGCTGTCTCTCTCTCTGTCTATTTATATATATTGTCTCTTCCCATGTTAGCTACAGATTCCTTTTTTTTTTTTTTTTCTTTTCTTTTCATTTAAATCAAGGTAGTGGAATAACCAAGAACAAGAGAAGATAAAAAGAGATTGATAAACATAGAGGATGATGAACACATCCTCTGTTTTCATTCCATTGAAACATATTTTCACATGCCCATGATTTTTACACCATCTTCATCCTTAAATGGTAAATTTTTCTCATCTGGGTTGCTTCAATTTTCCTTGATCTCTTATGAAGCTTTTTTGAATTTTCTTCTCTGATCCAGTTCCTTGCTTCTTCTTCTTCTTTTTTCTTTTTTTCTTTTTTTTTGTTTTTGGTATCGGGTTGCTGAGATTAGATATTGTTGTTCGGTTTTTGATTGATGCTTGGAAGATCCGATGCTCTTAGATCGATTTTGACAAAACCCACTTCGTGTCTGATCGAAGCAACAACTGGGTTCTGTCTGAATTTTAAGATAAGGTGTGTTTTCTTCACAGATTCTTGTCATCTGCATTTCTGATCGGTTTTGCTTTGCTCTTGTTGGTGGAAAGATTGGATTTTTATGAAGATTGAGTTTGATTATCTGTTAATATGGAAAACTATGCATTTAGATTGATTCCTACACTGGGATTTTGGACATCATTGAATAATTTAGATATACTTATTGAATTCTGAATTTTTGTTCTTTCTTTTGGTTTGGTTTGGTTTGACATGAGAATTTTGACTCATAGAGAGTGCTTGTTTGAATTTTTTTCAATCTTAATATTGAAATCAGTAGTTGATGGTTAAGTGATCATGATTGGTATCAGAACAGATGGAATCGGATCTTGGCAAGCTCTTCATTGGAGGAATATCTTGGGACACTGATGAGGAACGTCTTAAAGAATATTTTGGGAATTATGGGGAGGTGATAGAGGCTGTGATCATGAGAGATCGATCAACAGGTCGTGCTCGTGGTTTTGGTTTCATTGTCTTTGCTGATCCTGCTGTTGCAGAAAGAGTCATTATGGATAAGCACATAATTGATGGCCGAACAGTGAGTTTTTTCATTGTAGATACACTTGGCATTGTGTCAATATTTTGTGTTTAGATGTGTAGTAATGGAACCTAGCTAAACTTGTGTTTCTAACACGGATCATTGTGTCCTACTCTTAGATTTCTACTCTTTTTGGAACCTAGCAACTTTGATGCTTGAATTTTTATACCTACATTGAATTAAACTTGAACCTTTTTTGTTTATAAAATAAGAAACTAAAAATGACTTGCAGATTTTGATCTATGTGCTGTTCTCTTAAATTTCAGGTTGAAGCTAAGAAAGCTGTTCCTAGGGATGATCAATACAATATAAATAGGCAGTCTGGTAGTCTACATGCATCTCCTGGTCATGGACGCACAAAAAAGATTTTTGTTGGAGGTTTACCATCAACTATCACTGAAGGTGATTTTAAGAAGTATTTTGATCAGTTTGGTGCAATTACTGATGTTGTAGTTATGTATGATCACAATACTCAGAGGCCAAGAGGTTTTGGCTTCATCACATATGATTCAGAAGATGCTGTGGATAGAGTTCTTCATAAAACTTTTCATGAACTCAATGGAAAGATGGTTGAAGTCAAGAGGGCAGTTCCCAAAGAGCTTTCCCCTGGTCCAAGCCGGAGCCCATTGATAGGATATAACTATGGTTTAAATAGGGCCAGTAGTTACCTAAATAGTTATGCTCAGGGTTATAGCATGAGTCCCATAGGAGGATATGGAGTCAGAATGGATGGTAGGTTTAGTCCACTTACTAGTAGTAGAAGTGGGTTTAGTCCTTTTGGTAACACTGGTTATGGAATGGGGGTGAATTTGGATTCAGGATTGAGCCCAAGCTTTGGAGGAACTTCTAATTATGGGAGCAATTTAGGATATGGTCGAATATTTAGTCCTTTCTATGGTGCCAACTCAAGCAGATATTCCACTCCTATAGGCTTTAGTGGGGGTAATGGGAGAAGCGATTCTCTTATGAACTCAACTTCTAGGAATGTCTGGGGAAATGGGGGCCTGAATAATGCCAACAACCCAGTCAGCCCTGGTTCTTTCTTGGGATCTGGAAGTGGGACTTTTGGTGGTTCAATTGGAAACACTGGCACAAGTTGGGGTCCGTCGATTCCAGCCCAGGGTGGAGGTGCTGCTTCTGGCTATGCTACTGGGAGTAATGTTTATGAAGGTGGAGATAGCAGCTTTGGATTAGGTGGGGGAGGGTATGGAAGAAACAGCAGTTCAGGAGTGACTCCATCCTCTACATTTATGGCATCAACTGGTGGTTATGAAGGATCCTACGGGGACTTATACCGCGGTGGCAGTGGTTCAGTTTACAATGACTCTACTTGGCGGTCTGCTTCTTCTGAGATAGATGTTTCTGGCTCATTTGGTTATGGTCTTGGTGGTATAGCTTCTGATGACCCAGTAAAGAGTTCTGAGGATTATATTGGAAACTACAATGTTACTGGTAGACAACCTAATAGAGGTAAGATCTTTGTCTACATTCTTGTTCCAAAAGAAAACCAGATTATTGTTTATAATTTTTTTGTTGCTGATTTTATAATGTTATTTTCTATATTTTAGAAGATGCATTATTATGAACTTGATAAGGAAATATGTATTTACTAATTTTCTATTACATTTGTCTTTAAGTTTAAGATCAGTTTTGTTAATCTTCTAATTATACAGGGTACTTCTTGGTTCCTGACTTTTGTTCTGCATGTCTTTTTTTTTTAATCTTCAGATTCTTGATAGCTTTCTCAGAAGTGTTTACTGCAATCCAACTAGAATTATTGCTTGCAACTTCATGTCCTTATGTGTAGGTTTCTTAGTTATTTTCATTTAAATTTACATTGGAATTTGATTTTATTTGTAAGCTACATTAATTTGAAAGATGCTTAAATGTAGACACAGATCACACTCACCCGTGTTGAACGTGAATAAAATTGTATTGTCATGAATAAGGCACAGAGAGTGTTACATATCTGAGTTACTTATATACCTTTTATAAAGTACTTCAATTTATATGATCCAACTCAATTATTCTACTCATTTCTGTTCTCATCTAAATCGGCACACACTTTTGATTCATCATCGAGGATGAGTTTGTTGTTGATTATCCCTTTGCCGAGTATATTATTGCGAAATGGTTGACAATTCAGCATGTTCTTTAAGTTTTTGAGATGTTCATAATTAACTTTATTGCCTGTTACTAATTTTCTTTTATTGAATCCACTTGCTTCAGGAATCGCTGCCTAGGAGATATGTTAATTGGATATGTCATGGTAGCAGTAGATCAAGGGAAACTGGTTAAGATTAATGAGGTATTGTGTATTCATACATCTTCATCACTTAAGAGATATCAGCTCATATATATATATAGCTAACGGTGTTCTTTCATTTGAAGTATACATATTCAAAGAGAAAGCAGTTACAAGTGATTTTGTGTAAGGTTTGGGGTCCCTTTTTTTTTTTTTGTCTTCTTTTTAATTTTTCAAGACTTAGGTTCCTTTCTTGGAATTTGATTGAGGTGTAAAATCAGATTGCGGGATATACTCAGGAAAATTTGTTCCATGATAGTTAATAGTGCATCTCCAGAGAGGCCAGTCATCGTTAGTTTGTTCAATGATAGAGTATTAATTTTTGAATTTCTTCTTTCTTTTGCCACTGTTAATGCCTGGCAAAGGTGTTTGTTCTTGTCACCATCTTTTTTTTTTTTTTTTATGGTATATGTAACTCTTATCAAATTGTAAGTGAGGTTCAGTTTGATTTAAAGTGTGAAACATGAGAGGGATGTCTATTATTTAGGATCCCCGTCAAATAATTAAGTTGCTGCTAAACAATATTATTAATTTTTGTTACACTTATGTTATACAACCTTAAACTTGGTCTATTTTCAAAGTCAAAAGTCTTGCCACTGATTTTCATGATTAGTCAATTCTTATAGCAACTGTTGTGTGAAAATAACATGCTGTTAATGGAATTATATGGAGCAAAGTTTGATTGGTTTAACGCAACTAGTGGGTATGGTTCAAAATAGAAACTTTTGTTTATTAATTTTTGTGTAGCTTATATGCTTATCAGTAGCAACTTTTATGGTTACTTTGCTTTCTGGTTGTTACTTTCATGGGATTCCATCCTTCTAATAAGAAATCAGATTTGGATCTTCAAAATGAACACTTGCGTGTGGCCATGCTTTTTTCTTATCTTTAAATGGATTACGATTTGTCTTATGCTTTTATCTTCTACTGAATTTTGGACATCATCGTCACAACGTATATAACAATTTATTTTGGCCTCCGTTTGGTTTCTTGTTCTTGATTAAATAAATTTAAATCTTTATATTCTCAAAGCTCAATTCTCTTATAGTTTGATCCTTTTCTGAAAAGTGGTTATCAAAGTATGCATTTGAAATTAATGTTTGGTAATTTTCACAAAATTTGATTGAAAAAAGAGTTATTTTAAATGATATATAGTATTATATTAATAAAAATGTTTTTAATAAAAATAGCATTAAAAAACATTTAAAAGTAAAAACTAATTTAAATAATATTTTAAAACTCTTCTAAATAAGTGATATTACTAATATCGTGTCTTTGGGTAACATTTTACAAGTGTTTTCAACAATTTTTAGAGGAACGTTTTAATGTTTTTTATGTCCCCTCTGCCCTTTTATCTAAATAATGTTTTGTTGATTATGTTAAATGAGTTTATTTTTTCTCCCGTCAGTAAAGGTAGATAAGTTATTTATATTGAGTTCAAAATGACTCCGTTTTAGGGTAGAAATCAAATTATTTATGTAATTATAATTTATTTCAGAGTTATAATAGTTTTTCTCATTATAATTTTTAAATTTTTCAACTCAAAACAATAACATTTTGTAAGTGAATGTAGATAATTTATCTATATTTAACATTAAATCCATCTTAAATATAGAAAAATTAGCAAGAAAAGTTTGAAATTACAATCTCGACCGTGTTTGTTGGATCTGATTTTCTCTTGTTTTTTGGTGAGTGGATATAAGGGCAGAAAAATATTTCGTTAATAATACTTTGACATACACCATTTTCACATTAAAGTGAAATGGCAAAATCAATATATAAATATATAAAGGGTAAAATAAAATCAACTATAATTAAATAATAAAACCTACATACGTATAAAGTTATATGTGTTTTATAATTCTCATGTTGAATGAGAATAGAAATCTTATGTTGTAAAGACAAAAATCATGTGGAACCCATATGTTAGAAAAAATTATATGTAGGACCCATGTCAGCACGGAAATCGAAGAGTGTGTAGAAAAATTTCAATTCTCATGTTAAATGAGAATTATAAAACCCAAGTTATATATCTATAAATATGTACAATTATAATTATAACGAACTTAACTTGTATATCACAAAGTTATTCTTGTAAATAGCTTTTTCTGCTTCTAAAGATTATTTATTTTGGAATCGCTTCTAAAGGATTCTAAACATACCATTTATGTTGTATTCAATAATTTTGGAATTCATTTCTCCCTTATTTTGACTCTTTATTTTAGCTTTTTTGCTTAATTTCAATATCACATATAAAACATTAAAAAAACTCGATTATACAAATTTAATTAAAATTTTACATGTCAAACGGTTAAAAGAACAACTATTTATTGAATTTTTTTTTTTGTTAATGTAAATCAAAAGCCTAATTTTTTTTCAAAATTTCTTTTTAGATAATTTTGGTACATTGACAAGGGATAAGTAATTTGGCAAAAGGTCAAACGTTAACATCATTATTACTCTACACTCTCCAGCCCCAGAAAAAACGCAGCGTCATTGTTCTTAAAGCTTTCTAGTATAAGTCATGATTGGTGTTAAATGTACCAAAAATTTCATTGTGCCAATTGAAAATAGAAATGGTTAAATTACGTTTTCAATAAAATTAGACGGATTAAGATATAGATGCTATCGTTTACCAAAAAATAAAGATATAGATGGTATTCAGTATACAGTAGTCTATTTTTTGATTGGACGGCAGAAGGGAGCCTATATTAGTTCATATTATTCTAGCGTAAGTATTAAAGAAGATAATGTTATTTAAACTAGACAAAAGTATTACAAATATTTAGAAGTATTAAATTATAAATAGAATTATATTAAAATAAATAAATTCAGCATTTGTAAATTAAAAATTAAGTTTAGTAATAAATTTTAATTAATGAGAAGTATTGACATAATATTTGTAAATCCAATATTATAATCTCATTTATAAACTAAATCAGAAATTGATTGAATTAGATTGGTTATATAATTGTTGAAGCAGCAAATTAACCTAAAAATGTCCGCAGGGAATCAAGCAATATTCAACATTGTGTTGCACAACTCTCTATGTTGTCTTTGACAGAAAATGCTTAGCTATAGGGATTGGGACATTGTTTTGTTCCCTTTCTTGATTGTTCTGATGTTACTGATACGTAGCCACATCACAACCCACGTGCTAGTTTGATCACTGTAGTATGGTGGGCCCTTTGCAATTGCAAATTGGAAAGTAAATCTGGGGGCACCAAATGTCTTCCGTACTGTCTCAGTGAATATTGAATACACTCTCGTTGAAAATGAAATTATAAATTATGTAATAAATTATATATTTTAAAAATATAATTATAATATTAATTGTTTTTTTTTTTAAGAAAACTTGTCAACTAATGTGTTATGTTCATATTAGTGGATGTAGCCTGTAGGTTTATGATAAATTATTAACTTTTAAATGCTAGATTTCTTTTACTAATTTTAATAACCTGGTGATATAAATTTGTTTCATATAATGATATTTATAAGGAGATGTGAAATATTTATTGCATATTAATTTTAGACATTTAGATATTTATTAAAATTAGCTATTAATCAATAAAATAATTGATAGATATTATATGTAAATTAACCTCTATACATACTCACCTTAGATCCACCAGTTGGTTCCAATCTCTTAAAACTCACATCTAGAATCTTCTAGAGGGCACCCATGGCAAGTCATAGAGGCTCACCACCGGGACATTCTTTTTCCCTGCACTGTTGTCGCTGTACACTGACAATGGGCAGCATGCCTTATCTCAAGACAAGACATGGCTTGATGAGACAGCTCATGAGACTGACCAGTTCGCTCCCCTATACTAGAGAGGTCTCTCTTCTCTAAATACCCCTCCCTCACACATGGAGGAAAGATCATCTTCTCCACTCTCTACCTATGTTGTTACTCTTCCCCTTTTCAGAGCCATCTTGCCCCCCTTTATGCACAACATGGGAAGCCTCTACAGTGCTTTGGTCTCTACCATTGTCACTATGAGGCTATGAGCACCGCTATATTAACATACTTCACCTTCTATGGACACATCTATATACCCTCGTGGTACATATATATTATACAAAGGACATAAAGTGTACGTCTTATTATATCGACTTATTCTGCAATATCAAATTACAAACTATTAAAACAATATAGGGTATTAAGTAATCCTTACAAAACACAAATGTTGCTATCAAAATATAATTATAGTATAGTACAGAACTTCGTAACTGAATAGACTTTATTGGCCAATACTTCTTCATTGCACACACACAAGATCTACTTTAGGCTCTATACTCCACATCTGAAAATACACACTTAATGAGATATTTATCCCAATAAAGATAACAATTAAGAAGGTTTTCGAATTAGTGTAGTGTTTCCAGCCATAACTTAATATGAAAAAATCCTCCATAGTATTAATTGAATAATGTTATCATCAGATTTTTTTTTGGGTATACCAACCCTAATTACCTCTTCGAGGCGAGTCGGCCCCCGAGTATTACCACAAGCTTTAACTCTTTAAGTCCATGAGAGTAATCTCGAGTCTAGGCTTAGTTACAGTTAAAGCTCCTCGCCTTTTCCCAAAGATATTTGGTGGGAGAATATCAAAGTATTTTGACACAATCTAACATCACAAATATAATATATACCGTTTACAATTTTTTTTTACAAATTACACTAAGTATGACCGGTCATACACTCTTCAGTAGTGTATGACCGATCAGACATAGTGTAGTTTCTAAACAAAAAATTTGTAAATATAATCTTCCCATATATATATATATATATATGGGGCAGGATCCTTTGACACCAAATCATAACCGTTGATTTCCATCAATCAACTGTTATCATTTATTGGGAATAAATAGTAATTAATAAGTTTGATTCCCAATAAATGCTAACCGTTGAATGACGAAAATCAAAGATTGGTATTTGGTGTTAAATTTTGAAATTTGACACCAAATCCTAACCGTTGATTGTAGAAATCAACGGTTATCAATTATTGGGAATAAATAGTAATTAGAGGTAAGATCCTTTGACATCAGTGTCAAATTTAAAGTTTGACACTTCATCTGAGAGCCATTTGATCAAAAAAGATCAACGACTCTGATTTGTAAGCATGTTACACCATTGATCTTTTTTGATCTAACAACTCTCATATGAGGTGTCAAACTTTAAATTTGACACCGGTGTCAAAGGATCCTACCCCTAGTAATTAATAATTTTGATTCCCAATAAATGATAACCGTTGATTGGCGGAAATCAAAGGTTCAGATTTGGTGTTGATCCGGATAAAATATAGGCCCATGAGAGGCCTAGTGACATTCGGAGAAGCCCAAACCCATTAAGGATCCAGAGCAAGCGCGATGAACAAACATAGCGCATAAGACGCGATGCACTCATCACGCTGGACAAGACGCGATGCCCATATCGCGGATAAACCCCCCTTAAGGAAGCTAACTTAAGGCCCAAGGCAATCCCACCGCGCCTTTATTCCAATAAAAGATAGATAGCTCCAGCTTGCCACGACTCTACGACTGAAGATTAGGCTACTCAAGTCTTAGCACTGACCTGCAGCCCAAGCCTGGCCACTCAGAGGCCAAGCCGCCTTGCTAAGGCGGCATTATAACCACTATATAAACAAATGGTACAACACCAAGATACGATCATCCTTTACAATAATAACATAAAAACTCATGCCTCTGATACTTACTTAAGCATCAGAGTATCTTCGCAAGGTACCCCTCCATTTGAATCCAACGCGCTACTACAAAGGACAAAGACAATCCAACCTTAACTCCAGGCCCAAGACCAAGAACAACAATCCACATCTCAACCGTGTGTGATTAGGCTCGATACATATTGGCCAGCCCATATTGTATTTGGTCTGATCATCGGCGCCGTCTGTGGGGAATCTACCAGTTAGAACCCATCCATCTCAAATTAAAAACATGGTTGATACCAGAAGCAAATCCCAGAACGGCTCCAAAGGAAAGCGGAAGGAGACTCCTGCTTCCCGCGAAAAATCAGCTTTGTCGGTGGTACCACTTTCTATCCATGAGGATAACCCACCGACAGCCCAACACTTGCTGGACCTTATCACACAACAAAACAAGAAAATTGCCCAACAAAACCAAGATCTAGCTCGATTGAAAAAAGCTCAAAAGAACAAAGAAAGAAATCTAGAAAAAGGAAAAAAAAAAAAAAAGAACATGAGAAGGAGCAAACTCTTGAAAATTCTGGAGAAAGTGAACCAAGGCAGGAACATTCAACAGGTGACCCTGGTCCTTCGGGTCACAAAAACAAAAAAAGTGAAGAAGTGAAAGACACTAATGAGAACGAGAATTCTCATGGAAATTCTAGGACGTTTTCTCGAATTTTTCACCCATTTACCCCATGCATAATGAATGTCCCAATTCCTCGAGACGTTAAGATTACAACTGAAAAATATAACGGAAAAAGGGATCCACAGAACATCTGGAATAATTCCAGACCAATATGATGGCTCAAGATGTAGCCGATCCAATAACGTGTCGGTTGTTCCCAACAACCTTAAAAGAAATAGCACTTAGGTGTTATTCTGCGCTACCGCTTAATTCAGTATAAAGCTGGGAAGACTTAACCAACCAATTTCTGGTGCGCTTTGCAACAAGTAAAGCGCAATACAAATCTACGCATGCGCTCAAAACTGTGAGCCAAGGTCCAAACGAAACATTGCGCGATTATCTCAATAGATTCTTTGATGAAGCACTCCTGGTCAGAAACTTGGACTCACAAGTCTCACTACATCTCATTACTGAAGGGCTACTTGTAGGCCTTTTCTCTAAGTCTTTAGCCAAACAGCAACCACGAACTATAGAAGAACTACGTGCGCGATCAGAAAAATTCATCAACCTTAAAGATTATAAACGATCGCGTGCAATTCCCAATACCAGGATCGACATGGACAACTTCGAAAAAGACGACCGCAAGAATTTTTGGTGAAAATTCCGTGACAAAAGGAAGTGGGGAAGATATGACAATTATACTCCACTGAACACGTCCCGAAGATGAATTTTGAAAGAAGTATTCCAAACAGGATATGTACGAGTCAACAAACCCCCTCCAATGAGAAAAGGAGTTCAGCATGATGATACCAAGTTTTGTGAGTTCCACAACGACAAAGGTCATACAACTGATGAATGTTTTGAGCTCAAAAACACTATTGAAATACTCATAAGAGCTGGGAAACTCCAGAAATTCGTTTCTAGCTGCAGGGAATACAAAACGCAAAGAAGGCGCGATAGAAGCCCTGATCGCGATCCAAATCCTCATGAACAAAGGGCGTATCCTAGAAGGGACTACAACCCTGCACGGAACAATGATCGCAAAAATGCAAGAGAGGCCTCTACTGACAGACGCTAAGGGACTCCACCGCGAAACAGACAGCGTATCGCGCAACATCAACCACTTCAGTTACCTAATAACGCGGCAGGAGTCTTGGCCACTATCGCCGGAGGGATAGCGGGAGGAGGCGCGACTAAATCTCAACGTAAAAATCATGTAAAATCAGTAATGACAGTACATGATCATGCTCGCCCTTCTACTTCTCGCGATCAGAAGCAGGCCATAAGTTTTGACGATGATGACTATGGCGACATCATTCTAGACCATGATGATCCACTGGTAAGCTCAGCCTGCATGGCTAATCTCCAGGTAAAACGTATTATGATTGATAATGGTAGTTCTACTGGTATTATTTTCTGGGATGCTTTTCGCGCGATGCACATCTCTGAGGAACATCTAGTTCATCAATGTTTGGATTTAATTGGCTTCGCTGAAGAATGCGTACAACCCAAAGGTACCATTGAGATGTGGGTAACTTTTGGAATCATGCCACAGTCTCGTACTATCAAAGTACGGTTTTATGTCATTGAATATGCCTCTGCATACAACATTATTTTAGAAAGACCAATTATTGTCGCGTTAAAGGAAATCATTTCTATGCCCCACTTTTTACTCAAATTCTATGACATGTCTGGTACGGTAGTTGTCATAAGGGGCGACCAGAAGACAGCGCACAACTGTTATAACACCAGTTTACGGGCAAAAATTCCAATACAGCTGGATGACAAAGCCAAAGAATCAGTCCACATGACCGATCTTGATATGCGCGAAGATCTGCGCGATACACGTCCTCAACCCGATGGTGAGTTGGAAAATCTCCAAGTTGGACTATTACCCGAAAACGTTACCAAGATTGGACGACATCTACCAGAAGCAGAAAAAAGTGCGCTGGTGGCAGTGCTGCTAAAGAACAAGGACATCTTTGCATGGACAGCGGGTGACATGCCAGACATAGACCCAGACATTATATGTCACCATTTAACCTTAGATCCAAAGGCTAAACCTATCGCGCAGAAGAAGCGCAAAATATCCCCAAAAAAACAGCAGGTTGTTGAGACTGAAGTAGCAAAACTGCTTGATGCAGGAGTGATTAGCGAAATCACTTATTCTACTTGGCTTTCTAACGTCGTGTTAGTCAAAAAAGCCAACGGGAAGTGGCGCATGTGTACAAATTATACAGACCTTAACAAATAATGCCCAAAGGACTTTTATCCTCTTCCCACCATTGACAAATTGGTTGATAACTCCGCGGGGTACCAGATTCTATCCTTTATGGATGCATATTCAGGCTACAACCAGATCCCGATGTTCAAACCAGACGAGGAAGCTACAACTTTTATCACTGAGAAAGCTACTTATTGTTATAATATGATGTTGTTTGGTCTTAAGAACGCCGGTGCCACATATCAACGGATGATGAATAAAGTTTTTAGCCAACAGATTGGTCAAATGCTTGAAGTATACATTGACGATATGATCGTCAAAACAATGACTACTTCACAACATCCTAATGATTTGGAGCAGGTATTTCAACAATTGCGTAAATATAGGTTACGTCTTAACTCAGCCAAATGCGCGTTTGGAGTACCTGCCGAAAAATTTCTAAGATTCATGCTAACACATCGCGGGATAGAGGCTAATCCTGATAAATGCAAAGCCGTACTCAACATGACAAGCCCGCGTAACATAAAGGAATTACAACAATTAACTGGAAGAATCAATGCCTTAACTCGATTCCTTCCTGCCTCAGCACAGAAATCGCTACCAATGTTTAAGCTATTGTGCAAAAAACAGACTTTAACTGGACTCTTAAGTGCAAAGCAGGATTCACGACCATCAAAGAACACTTGGTTAAACCACCAGCTTGGTCAAGCCTCAACTAGATGAACCTTTGGTTCTTTACCTCTCAGTTAGCAACGAGGCCATAAGCGCTGTCTTATTGCGCGAAGATTCCCAGGAACAACAGCCAATCTACTTTGTCAGCAAAGCACTCCAAGGACCAGAACTGCGTTATCAACAGATAGAAAAGGTAACTTTCGCGCTTATTTTAACATCGCGTCGTTTACACCATTATTTTCAGGGGCACACCATCAAGGTTCGAACAAACCAGCCCCTTCGACAGGTGCTGAGACAACCTGATTTGGCCGGTCGCATGATTTCATGGTCAATAGAGTTATCTGAATACGACATCATGTACGGACCGCGTCAAACAATCAAAGCTCAGGTATTAGCTGATTTCCTCGTCGAAATGACACACCTACATCAGGCTGAGGTAAATGAGGATTAGATTATTTTTGTCGATGGATCTTCCAATGTCAAAGGAAGCGGTGCAGGAGTCATCGTGGAAAGCCCTCAAGGTATAACAGTGGAGCATTCTATCCATCTTGGGTTTAAAGCCTAAAACAACCAAGCCGAGTATGAAGCGGTCCTCGCAGGACTCACAATGGCAAAGGACTTGGGGGCCACTACAATAATCCTCAAAAGCGATTCGAAAATGGTGGTTGCACAAGTACAAGGGAGTTACCAGGAAAAGAAGCGTTAATGATAAAATATCTCGAAAAGGTGAGATTACTGCTAACAGATTTTCAAAGCTTCAGAATGGAGCACATCCCTAGAGAACAAAATTCGGGGGGGGTGATATTTTGTCCAAATTAGCCAGCACAAAGGGACCAGGAAATAATAGATCAGTCATCCAGCAAAGCGTCCCCAATCCTAGCATTATAATGGCTGTAACTAAACGAAAAGCTCATCCGTCCCAGAGTGCGCAATCCATTGTCGAAGATGATACCATGCCAATGGACGATAAAGACAATTGGATGACACCAATTTGGAACTACTTGTATAAAGGAGAGACACCACAAGAACCGCACACATCAAAAAAGCTAGCGCGCAAAGCTTCATTTTACACTATCATCAATGACTAGCTGTACAAAAAAGGATTTTCTTCTCCAATGCTTAAATGCCTGGATCCCCAACAAGCTCAGTATGTAATCTTCGAGGTTCATGAGGGGATTGGCGGACATCACATGGGAGGTAAATCCTTATCTAGAAAACTGCTTCGAGCGGATTATTTCTGGCCCACTATGGAAGAAGATTCTAAAAAACATGTGCGACATTGTGTCTAATGTCAAAAGCATGCAGACTTGCACCATGCTCCCAGGTTCGTCGATTCTTCTATCAATCATAAGTCGGTTTGGCATTCCTCATACCATCATAACTGATAATGGTACGCAGTTCGTGGACAAAAAATTCAATCAAATACTTCAAGATTTGCATGTCAAACACAGATACACATCTGTGGAACATCCACAAACAAATGGATTGGCAGAAGCTGCAAATCGAGTCTTGAAACGAGGATTGGAAAAAAGATTAGAAGCAGCTAAAGGAGACTGGCCTGAACAATTAGACTTTGTGTTATGGGGCTACAGAACAACCACACATTCAACTATGGGGGAAACCCAGTTCCGCATGGTTTACGGTAGTGAAGCCATGATTTCGGTTGAAATTGGAGAGCCATCACGGAGAAGGATCTACACGAATGAAGATAACAATTCGCATGCATTACTCCATAACTTGGATGCAATGGATGAAGTCCGCGAAATTGCTTATGTTAAGGAAGTGGCATTAAAGCAATGAATTGTAGCGCGCTATAACTTAA